CAAGCTTTGGATGGAAACCTAGGCTCGCATTCATCTTTTGGGCACCAGACGGTTTTTCGGCCGCGTCCAAGATCTTGTCTTTGTTCCTCAGGAAATTGGAAACTGTTTGCTTGGAAATGCCAAACTCCTTGCTCTCGTCAGCCTGCGATCGGCCACTCTTCACTAACTTAATAATGGCGGCTTTCTTCTTCATTGTTACTCGACGGTACTGTTTTTTGCGCTTCGATGCTATCGGCGAGGACGACGAAGGCCGAGTGGGGGCCATCGCAGGCAAGCGAAATCCTCATGATGTGAACAAAGGATTTTGCTGACGAGCGTCGAAGCAACTAGGCTTAGCGTTGCAGAGCACACTTCACACGATCGCACAACCACACACTAGGCTAGCCAAACACCATGTGGGCTGCGTAAAGAAAACGGCGCGACGGTGCCATGGGTACTCCGGAGGTGGCGCTGGTAAACATTCAAGATAGCTAGTGTGGCCAGACCAAATTGGTGTGTGACGGTTAGTTCTAGTTCGAAGTGGTGAAACGCTTCGCGAAAGCGCTGCGTGGGAAGCCAGAGTGGCACGCACAAGCACAAGCGCTAAAGCGAAAGGAACTTTATTGGCGCCAAAAAATTTCTGGGTGGATAGTTTTGATTGTCAGCGAAGCACCTTGCACGATAAACCCCACCAGTGTTAGGAATCTCGGAGGCCGTGTGTGTTTCTCCGCTAACGATCAATGAGTCCAAGCAACATATGCCGCCACAGTAGACCGTCACGCTCATTTATGCGATCGTAATCGCGTGTAACGCAGTTGTGGTGGTTTCCACTGGAGGCCAGTGGTGGTTTCCGACCTTCCGTCACGTCAAAAAGTCTGGAAAATTGGACTCCGGGGGGTTCGAGCGTCCAAAATTTCATACTTCCTTATACATTGATTCTATGGGGCTCGTGGCGGTGCCGCGAAGATGCCCGAATTATCGGGCATGTCCGAAAAATCGGCAGTTGACTGTATATAACATAGAGAGAATTGAGCAGGCTGTAAAAAGAGGCAGAAGCCTAAAATCTGCGAAGGCAAACTTGTTCGTAGGCGAAAACCGGATGTATGCATTAAGGGTTAAGGAAGGCATTGTCATAACAAATATATATAGGATAGTTGAAGTGTCGGAGGAGTTCTACAGAGAGCTGTACAGAAGCTGAAACAATCAGGATGATATCGTAAAAAGCAATAATAGCCCAGAGGAAATCGACATCCTACCAGTAAGGACAGGGGAAGGAAAGCCCTGAAAAGAATGCAAAGAGGCAAAGCTGCTGGTTAGGATAAGGTAACGCACTTGCTGAAAGGAGGAATTGTATTAGAAATACTGGCCACATTGTATACGAAGTGTCTCTTGACGGGAACGGTACCAGAATCTTGGAAGAATGCCAACATCAAAAAAGAAGGTGTCAAGGACTTGAAAAATTATCATAAAAAACAAGAACATAGGTCTGACCGGAATATAGGCCAATCAACCAAACTTTGAATCTCCGAAAAAAGAAATTTTTAAAAATCGCAACACATTGCGGCGCACCCTTACCTTGGTAAGTAAGCGACACAACCAGCTGCACTATGGTGACCATTTCTTATTGGGACACTAATCGTATGTAGTTAAACGCCAGAAGGCCACAAAGTATTGTCACTCAGACTCGTCCGAACTTGAGTGCGACGACATCTGTTTTTCACTAGTAACATCCCAGAGCACACCGTCCTCCGCTCCATCCAATCTGTTACTGATGCAGAATTTGCCGAAGGATGGAAGTACGCTGCCTCAGCGCAAAGCCCTTCCTCTTCATAAATCGGTGCACCCACGATGGCAATTTCTTGAATTGTGCCTTCGTGAGCCAAGAGTCGCATGCTATCTTGAGAGCATTCACGCAGATGGACTTAGCTGTTACGAATAGCGACCTTACACGCAGCTCCCAGACGAATTCGGCAAGTAGTGTTTTCAGTTTGGGGTGCACTGCAGTCCGTCCACGAAACGATGTATGTTTTTTTTTTTAGTTCCTGCAAGATGTGATGCACTGCTTGTGGCTCCTTCTGTATCGGACACTTTTCTCCAATGTACCAAATTCTCGTTGTGCCGCCAGGTTGGCGTGTGCTTCAGCATACTCGATCACTTTTTTCTTTAAGCCTATCGTAAACTGCCGTTGACTACGGCTCATTTCTGAAGGAAAAAGAAAAAAGAAAACAGCAGACTGACCGCAGACAACAGAGGCAAAATGGCATTACTAGAACACTGTAGGCATTAGCCTTGCCCAATGGTGCCGCTGCTAATGCTCATGATGAAAATAGAGGCTTTAAACTTCAGCTGCCCATTTTTACAAGACTTCCGTATTTTTTCAGTCACTGACCAGTATATAAGACAAGGGTCAACTTTTCATTGCGTTTTTTTTTTAATTTGATCTATACCAGTTTTTACGATACAGGCCGATCACCTTGCTGTCCATTCTCTATAAACTATTTACAAAAATAATACTAGGTGATAGAATTAAGGCAACATTAGAGTTCAATCAACCAAAAGACCAAGCGGTATTTTGTACAGGCTACTCCACAATAGGCCATATTCATACTATCAATCATGTAATAGAGAAATGCACAAAATACAACCAACCCCTATACACATCTTTAATAGATTACGAGAAGGCGTTTGACTCAGTCGAGACATCAGCAGTATTGAAGAGGGCATCGACAAACCCTACATAAACATACTGGAAGAAATCTACAGTGGATCCACAGCCACATTAGTTCTCCATAAAGAAAGTGACAGAATCCTAATAAAGAAGGGTGTAAGGCAGGGAGACATGATCTCTCCAATGCTATTTGCCGCATGTTTACAGCAGGTTTTCGGGGCCCTAGATTGGGAAGAGTTAGGAATAGGAGTTAATGGAAAGTATATTAGTAACCTCCGATTTGCTGACGACATTGACTCGATGAGCAACTCGGGGGACGGATCACAGCTTATGATCAAGCAGAAGAGTAGGTCTGAAAAAGATAGGTGGAGAGACGCGGCAAGTTGTCAAGGAATATGTCTACTTAGGAGAGGCAGTAACTGCAGAGGCAATTAAACTATACGGAAAAATAAGAACTGAGGTTGAAGAGAGTTTTTGGGCAAGCCAGTCACTTCGAAAGGTGCCAATCTTGTAGACCAGTGGTTTTCAAATGGGGGTCCACGGATCCAAGGGGGTCCGCGAAGCCATTTTTATGAGCCGTGACACTTTAACCCGCTTTTGTTTTTCATTTTTTCAATTTTTTTAAAGTGCGACTGCGCCACATAGTGATGAACTATCCAAAATGAAGTGATGTGGCACATTTGTTTCATATTTTTGGTAGCAGTAAAAGGCACCTACCTGCTTCACGCTCCAGTTGTGGTAATTGTTATTTCATTTTTAATTTTCATAATTAATGAATGAAAGAGAAGCGTTGCCTTTAACGAGTTGTGGGAAGCAGATGTTGGCTTGTCCCCACTACTGGTCGAAGGTAGTATTGCTTCTATCACATCTACTCGAGTCAAGCAAAGCAATAGGTCAAGCGAAAGCCAAGCAAAAACGCCCTTGACTAAATTCTGAACGCACGTTGCAGTGCCTGCAAGAAGTCAGATTTTACTAGCAGGTGCCGCCTACCCAGCATAATCCCCCCTTCTTTCCATTCGCTGCTAGGGGCCCCAACACATCCATGGCTGAAAACCATTGTTGCAGACGAAACAAGTGCTGGTCGGTATGCTCTTTTCTTATGTAACTGGTAAATTTGAAAATTAGTGCTACCTTGTTTCTGGCATTGCCAGGGCTCCCTTGTTGCCTGAACAGTGCGAGAAGCACAGAGAAGTCATGGCAGAATGAAGATAAACAAACGGCAACTACCACCGTAAATGTTGCGATATGCATACGGTTTCGTTTTTGTGCCCAACACAACATGGCAAATAGAGCTTACAGGATACCGGCAGATGGCACTGTTCATTTTGATCCCCTATTGCTCCTAATACAAAAATACTGTATTTATTCGTGTAATGAACCCACTCGCATAATGAACCCACCCCCAATCTTGATCCATGAAAAAAAATTTAATGTATCTGTTCACTTTATTTTGTGGTGAAAGCCAGTGCCGTTGGCGACCGAAAAAACATTAAATCAAGCCATTATATCACAAAATAACACCATAATAAATGTCAAAACATAGTTTTGCAACCATGCCAAACAGTTGCCAGCAGCATAAATGCGGACAGAGTCAATCAAAATTTAAAAGTCGTGCCTTTTGCAGCAGAGCGCCATCTGTTGAATGCAGGAGAAACCTATTTGCTTATAGAGCCACGCAAGCATACTGGCAGGAAAGCAAAGCAAAAAAAACAAAGTGCAAGGCCTTCGAGATGAGGGGCGCGCGACGTAGAAGCACGCCATGCGGCGCATGCATCATTTGTGCACTGCTATCCGACGCTGCGTTTTTGTTGTCGGGTTTGTCGTAGAGAACTTAGTTAAACCCCTGCCGCGCAGGTCGCATTCAGCCGGTACGCTAACAACATGGCTGGTTTTAAACTTAGTTAGTTGAGCATGTACTAGAACATGGGAACCGAGTGGCTGGACGACACGGGAGAGAACAAGAAGAGCTTCGGGCTATCTAAAAGATTTGTTGCTCATTTTACGGGCCAAAACAAGCAAAACGGCCACGTTAAATTTTTGCTACTATAACTCCCGTGACTTTCTTTTTTTCGTGTAATGAACCCTTCCTCCAGATTGGGGTCAACTTTTCTGAAAAAAAAAAAAAATGTTGGTTCATTACGCGAGTAAATACGGTAATTCTGCAGCTATATTATATGGGAACCTGAGCCACATAAATAGAGCAATATCATCTTCTTTGCACATTTTACTTCAGCCAACCCACGCATCTCTTTTTTTTTTTTTACATAACCAAAAGGCTACATCTCAATTATAATCATTTTAATATTAACACTCTTAAAAAAATCAAATAAAAACAAAGACATGCAATACTAACCTCTGATTTCCAAAGACATGCAATACTAACCTCTGATTTCCAAAACTGGGATTAGAACCTGCAAAAGAAAGGTACAACAATGAGGAAATGGATGCGAAAAAATAAGTCAGTTTCGCTGCAAGGGCGAAGCAATGAATGCTATAGCAACAGCTTGGCATCTAATGCTGAGAAGGACTAGCAGATCGAAATGTGCAGTGCGCTGCTCATGCACAAATGATGCACGAAAATAACACACACAGGACAAGAGTTAACTGACTGCATTTACAGCTCGACACTTAACGCGCTGTTTAAACAAAAACAACGCATGAAACGTAATCACAGGTACAAATATGAGTGCAAACTAACTAGTGCTCGAGTTGTTACTTCACTGTGTTTGAAAAGCATGCTCTTTTCACAAACGGGGCCTGCCCAGCGAGCGAAGTGACCTTTGTGGCGGGCAACTAACACAGTCGTTCCGGTGAAAGGCCAAGGCACTTAACCCCCCGCCGCCAATCCCTGGGGCAACGTACGCGTGGGAGATAAGTGTGCATTGGCACACCGCGACAACCTGGGTGCGGAGCACGAGCGGCTTTTTTTCTTTTTTGAGTTTTCATATATACAGATACGTATACTTATACTGTACATGATGGCGGAGGCGGTGGCAACGGCAAAAGCCAGCCGAGACTGTCCATGTAATTGCTATTGCAATAAAAATCTAGCCACGCATGCTCTCACCACGTTCATTCACATTTACACATTTGCTTAAGTGAGCAAGGGCTGTCTGAAAATACCCAACTAGCTCAATTTTGCTTCTTATCTTTTCTTGCCTAAATTTAATGACAGACCATATAGCTATATATGAAATGTATCTTGAACTGGCAGAACATCTACGTTAGTATATAACAATTTCATATTTTGTAGGTTTTATCATACAGGAAAAATCAGTGCACAATTAGTACGTTGTTCAAAATAGTGTAGTTAACTGTTTTTTGAATGTACCTACATATACCTCTGTAAATCATGCTGCGTGATGACTGGACACCCTTTATATAGCTGCAAAGCAGCAAATAAAAAGGCATTTTCAGTTTTTTAATGTAGAAGGTGTTGCTGTTATTGATTTATTAAATTCTGAGCTTTTTACTGCCACAACCACAGTAAAATTATGAGGCATATTGTAGTGAGAGACTTAAATCTCTACACGGGGTTCTGTAATGTGTGCCTAAATTTATTATATATCTTGTATGCAGCCATTCCCTTATTTTATAACCATCAGAATGCAGCAAGCAAGACAGATAAAAGAACCTGTGACTTGATTACTGTTATCTTAATAATTTTTGAATGCATAATCCCAAAGACAAAGTTGTGCTTTTCGCTCCACTGTCTGTGCAGATGCTTTTTAAAGGACAACTAAACTTCAATCTCATCTGCCCACCTAACTTTCTGTCTCACTTTCATGCATTTGCCTTCTCTGGCAATCCAGTCAATTACACTTAATGACCAGCGGCTATCCTGCCTACGTGCTATGTGCTCGGCCCATGTCCATTTCTTCTTGATTTCAACTATGATATCCTTAACTCCGGTTTGTTCCCTGACTCACTCTGCTCTTTTCTTGTCTCTTAAGGTTACACCTATCATTTTCCTTTCCATCGCTCACTGCATCGTCCTCAGTTGAAGCTGAACCCTCTTTGAAGGCCTCTAGGTTTCTGCTCTGTTGGTAAATGCCGCCAAGTTCCAGCTGTTCTATATTTTTCTCTTGAGGGTTAGTGGCAGATTACCATTCATGATTTGAGAATGCTTGCTGAATGTGATCCACCCCATTCTCATTCTAGTTATTTCACTCTCATGGTTCGGCTCCGCAGTTACTACCTTTATTTAAGTGAAATATTCCTTTACAACTTTCAGCCTCTCTTCACCTATCGCAAAGTGCTGTTTTCTACCGAGGCTGTTGCACATTATTTCAGTTTTGTGCATATTAATTTTCAGACCTACTCTTCTGCTTTGAGTGTCCAGTTCAGTAATCGTGAGCTGCAATTCTTCCTCTGAGTTACTCATCAAGGCAATGTCATCAGCAAATCGCAGTTTACTAAGATACCCTCTTTTAACTCTTATCCCTAACTCTTCCCAATCTAGGAGGCCCTGAAAACCTCCTGTAAACACGTGGTGAATAGCATTGGAGAGATCATGTCTCCCTGCATTACACTTTTTTTTATTAGGATTTCGTCACTTCCTTTATGGAGACCTATGGTGGCTGTGGATCCACTGCAGATTTCTTTTAGTATGTTTATGCAGGGTTCGTCGATGCTCCGATTCCATAGTGCCTGCATTACTGCTGATGTCTTGACTGAGTCAAACGCCTTCTCGTAATCTATGAATGCTATGTATAGCAGTTGGTTGCATTCCGCACATAAATCTATTATCTGATTGATAGTATGAATATGGTCTATTGTGGCCGGTACAAAATCCTGCTTGGTCCTTTGGTCGATTGAACTTTAATGTTGCCTTAATTCTATTAACTATTAATTTTTTGAATAGTTTATAGAGAATGGACAGTAGGCTGCTTGGCCTGTTATTTCAAGTCCTTGATGTCTTCTTTCTTATATATTAAAATGATGTTGCCGTTCTTCCAAAATTCTGGTACTCTTCCCACCAGGAGGTACTTCGTATATAAGGTGGCCAGTTTTTCAAACTCAATTTCTCTGCCACCTTTCAGCAGGGCAATAGTTACCTTATTTTCACCAGTGGCTTTGCCTCTTTGCATTTTTTCTAGGGCTTTCCTTACTTCCCCTGTCGTAACTGGTAGAATGTCGAATTCCTCTGGGCTATTATTGCTTCTTATGATATCATCCTGGTTGTTTCGGCTTCTGCACAGCTCTCTGTAAAACTTCTCTGCAACCTCAACTATTCTATCCATAATGGTTATGAAATTGCCTTCCTTGACCCTCAATGCATACATTTGATTTTTGCCCATGCCCAAGTTTGCCTTCGCAGCTTTTACGCTTCTGCCACTTTTTACATCCCGCTGAATTCTCTACTTGTTAGAGACGATCCCGGATATATCAAACTCGAATACAGTCAATCTTGGATATATCGAACTACAGTTGAACCCCACTACAACGAATGCCAGCTGAACGAAATTCCCGCTACAACGAAAAATTCACGGTTCCCCCTCAGCAGTCCACAGGAGTAAATGCATAAATATTGTCGCCACAACAAACACTTTCTCTTCAGTCATCCCGCTTCAACGAAATTTCACGATGCGATTCCAGGCTCAGTTATTTATTGCTATACAGTAAACCAAATATTGAACACTTTGACAAATTTTCAGAACCTGAAAACACGTCGACGAACTCTAAAACATGTGTTGGCATCACCAGAAACCACCGCAGTTCAGCAAGCATGGGCGCCGCCATTGCTCCATAGCGATGGCAACGAGACTGCCCTGCTTTGCCAAAAAGAGGGCAGTCTCATTGCCATCGCTACTGAGCAATGGCGGCGCCCATGCTTGCTGAACAGCGGTGGTTTCTGGTGGTGTCAATGCGTGTTTTAGACTTCATTGACATATTTTCAGTTTCTGGAAATGCATCAAAATGTTAAAAACTTGGTTTACTGTATATTCGCAGACGATCCGAAGCTGAAGCTCAGTTGCTTAGTTCATGGTTTCCTTCGCGGGGCTGCTGGGTTTATCTGCGGAATGATGCCTTTTTCGATTCCAATGCTTATAATTTTGTTCGCACTTGGCCAGTGTGGTAACTAGTGAGAGCAGCTGTTCGTCTGCATTATCAACGAAATCGGCTAGCCACGAGTGATGAATGATGAGAATGGGATAAAATAAGGCAAAAGTCGCCGCTTCATGATACCCTGCTGCCATCTCGGCATTTTGACGACGGACAGCTGCTGTTGTAAACGTGTTAATGCAACTGTTTGGTTCGTTCACGAAAGCAATTGTAGTCATTGTTTCAGCGAGCTTTTCACCATGGCCTCGTTATCCATAGGCGAGAAGCGCCTCATGACGCTGCTGGGTAGAATGATTGATTGATTGATATGTGGCGTTTAACGTCCCAAAACCACCATATGATTATGAGAGACACCGTAGTGGAGGGCTCCAGAAATTTCGACCACCTGGGGCCCTTAATGTGCACCCAAGTCTGTGCTGGGATAGAATAAAAAGCAGTGGACACTTTTTGAAATTTGAGAATAAACGTTCCTCTGTTTTGCTAGTTCAGATTGGCTATATTTTTTTATTTCACTACAACGAAATGTTCACTTAAACGAAATTTTTTCCGCGCCCCTTCAGTTTTGTTGTAGCGGGGTTCGACTGTATTTCATCGTGCTAATCTGGTTCGTTGTGTGGCACTTGCTAAATCTGTACGTTTGATTCGCGATCTGCAGGTCTTAGTGCGCAGACATAATGTTTACCAAAAGACCGATTGCCAAAGGCACCCAAATGAAAATGGGAAGTGACTCGGCGATCTCAGTGCAATGTTCGCATGTCGTTCGCATTCCCTCAATTGTTATTAGCGCACCATGGCGTGCAAGCCTGAAAAGCATGGCCTTTGAGATGTGCTACCTTGTCGCGTATTTTAGGGGCGAAGCTCCTTATAGCGGCACCTGTTCGTCCCTCGTAGCCATTGTAGTGTGTAACAAATATAACATTTGACCTCCAAGGTGGTGTTGGTGAGAGATTTCTTCTGTGCGTTATGCGCAAGAAGCGAGACAAGTTAATGGACTAAATAAAGTGTGGTTGCCTGCAGTTCGCAGTTTTTTTTGAGCGAATCGTTATCTTAGCTCTTATAATTTCAGAATCCTGAAATTTTTCAATTTAGGCCATATTTTGTATTTCGAATTCTCGATATATCGAAATATTTCCCGATCCCCTTCGAGTTCCATATATCCGGGATCGACTGTATATCGAATTATTGGCTATACCGAAAATTTGAGAAATCCTCTTGAATTTCCCATACAAAAGTATGGGACTGGTGCACTCGTATATCGTACGTACTTCCGCACAGCAGGATATCCGCTATATCGAAAGCTGCACCGTGCCGAGGCCCAGAAAGTGCTTTTTTCCTAGCAAATATTGATCGACTTTCGGTCGCGTCCTTACAATTTCCGGTCCCTTTGCGTGCACAGGTGACGAAAAGGCAGTATTGCGCTGATCTGGTTTGTAAAGTGGAGCTTGCGAGTGCCCCGGTATGTTTGATGCGCGATCTGCAGATCTTAACGCACGAGCGTGGTGTTTTTCAAAAAGACCGGTTGTTGAGAACACACAAAGAGATTGCAAACTGACTCTGTGATATCATCGCAATGCTCGCATTTTCTTCCTTGTTTGTTAGTGCACACTCGTATGCAAGCCCGAAATGAAAAGCACGGCCTTCAAGATGTACAACCTCGTGATGCATATTGGTGTTTTTGGTTTTATAATGCATGTCTCGAAGGCTATACTTTTTCTAGCTTTTCGCATCAAAGCAGCTGAAAGCAGAGACTCCCAACTACAAAGGCACAAGTGAAATCGACAGTGGGAACTTGATATTGTCTTTTGCACCTTCAGGACTTGAGTGCTTCTCGCCTTATTCCTGAAAAATTCTCATTTGGGAGTTGAACTGAACGTTGACCCGCACGTAGCAATAAAAAATCTTGACTGGTGCTTGGAGTGAACTCAAGTGAAGCAACGTGGTAAACTTTCGTTGCAGGCCAGGTGACGGCTTTAGGTGTGTCATGACTGTTGACAACGGCGTACAGTGCCTTGTTGAATTCTGTGACTTATCAGCGTTTCCGGGCACCATCTCCGACAGTGAGCAACATCATCCGTGCAGATGATGACATAGCTGTTTCTGACTGCATCGATGCTGAGATCACGGCTGCCTTGCCGGTCCACCGAAGTGCACCATTGCAATTAAGAATGCGTGAACGCTTTCGCTGCCGTTGCTAACTAACCTTTTGCTGAGCTATAAAGCTTGCATTGGTGTTCTGCGTCCATCAATGCTGTTGTGGCCGAAGGAGCTGAATTCGCTTATTTAAAAAGCTTCAGTGATATTGAGGATCACTGGAACTTGATGGCATGCAAGAAGCAAGACAAGTTTCTGGACTATTTTCGACAAGTTTCTGGACTATTTTCATGCAAAATGAAGTAGGGTAACTTGCAGTTCACACCTTGTTCTTCCTTATACTGTGAGCGAATTGTTATGTTAGTGCTTGTAACGATTTTCAAGTCTTGAAATGCTTTATATTTAGGCCTTAAATATGCTTATATTATATTTTTAATTATCAAACATCGAAATATTTTACAATCCCCTTCGAGTTCGATATATCCGGGATCAACTGTATACCTTTTAATGTCGACTACCTTGTACCTATTGATTGCGCCTACATTAGCTCTATTGTGTTGGTTGCATTTTAGGCTTTCATAGTTTGTTGTCTCTTGACGAGAGTTTTCATCTCCTGAAGTAGTTTGCTAGTGTGATGAGATTAAAATGACTTAAATGTTTACAGGTATAACATGGCCACAGAAAGCACAAAACCGGGTTTATTGTCGGATCGTGGGAGAGGCCGTTGCCCTGCAGTAGGGGTAGTCAGACTGATGATGAAAGTTTAATCTACAGTGACATTATATTTCTACACAAACTAGAGATTTCCATGTACTCTAACAGATGTAAACTTTGAAAAGACTGTCAATGAACAGTGACAAAGCTGTGATCCATGTAGACGCTACACCACTCTTTGAAAAGAATGGTTGGGTGAAATCGGTAAAGGTCTCACCTCCAAATCCAGGAGTGCCAAATCCACCTACAAAGCTCATTCCTTGCTGTTGAGGGCTGCTCTGCGCAGCTAGGCCTCCAAAAGTCGGACCTTCTACGTTGCCGAACCTGTTCCACAAGTTCATAAAGAAAGCATACAAAGCATGAATAAGTAAATTAAGATTGGCTAGTTTTATGTGCTACATGTCTTGACATAATTTAGAGTTGAGGAAGCTGTATTGTCACACAAGGCGTGACTAAACAGGACTGCACTTCTTTACTTAGAAAGTTACTTGACTGTGTAGAAAGAAAATGAAGAAAGAGGCAATATGAGTGGATGCCACGAGGCCTATTACCACAACAAAAGGAAACGAAAGCAGAAGTAGCAAAAGTTGGCATGTCATGCCTTTACTGCATTTACATGCACCTCACTAGAACTATGAAAAATTTTGTTAGTTGAACAGTTAAACAATTTTGATGATAATTTATGCATTGCAACTCCACTAACATAAAATTCTTTGAATAACCTCCAGCCAAGTGAGATTTGTTGCCAAATGCATCGCACGATTCAGTTACAATAACATGAAGGGCCCTTTAAAGAGTGTATGCAGAAATTAAGCAATTGATAGCACAAAAAGAAAGAAAAAAGAACCAGCTGTAACGAATCCACACCGAGTTTCTATGAACTACCGAAAATTCACAAGCCTGACGTCCCCCTCTGACCAATTGTAGACTTCACTTCCTCTCCATGGCGAGCCCTTTCGAATTTCCTACACCGAATCTTTGCCCCCCTAACCCGGAAGACACCAACTCATGTCCGTGACTCCATCCACTTCGTGCAGCTAGTGTCAGAGGTGAGCATCGACGATGACAAGAGCCTGGTCTCATTCGACGTCGTTTCATTCTTCAATGGGCCAGTACCCTTAGCTGTGTCCTCTGCCCATGCTGCGCTTGAGGGTGACGCAAGCCTGAGTGAAAAGACTCCTTTGGCGGTTGACAAGCTCTGCTGTCTACTGGAATTCTGGAATTCTGCCTGTCTAGTACGTACTACTCCCACAAAGGAACTATTTTCAGGCAGAACAGGGGAACTGCAACGAGAGCTTCCATCTTCGTCATGATGGCAAACCTGACCACGGAGCACATAGAAAAGAAAACATTCAGCTCCTTTTTGCCACGACCCAGGCTTTTTTTTCGTTATATGCACAATTTCTTTTGTGTCAGGAAGACGTCTGAAATTGAAAACTTCAGACAGCATCTCAAATTCGTGCACTCAGCCATACAATTCACGGCCAAGTATGAAAGCGATCCCTGCCTGCCCTTTCTCGACGTCCAGGTGGCAAGAAAGCGCAACGGCCAGGAGTTCTCCATTCACAGAAAGCCAACGCACACCGGTCGCTACCTTCAACACGACTCATCTTATCGCGCCTGCCACAAGGCCTCGTTTGTGACCACGCTACTCCAGAGAGCTAAGAACATATGCTCCAATGACACGGAGCGAAAGAAAGAAGAGGCTCGCGTAATTGCTGACCTCAGAAAAAAAAATGGATACCCAAAATACTTCATTCCAGCCACCACCCGCCGCACAGAGCAATAGGATACGAAAACCCCAATCAGCATTAATTGGCAGCCCTCTGAAATGCGTACCGGTCTCATATGCCTAGGCAACCAGCGAGATGTTGGTGCGGATCTTCAAAAAGAAGGAGTTCCCATTGCGCACGTGTCTTTGTGTACGTTGGGCCGCCTCTTCCTTTGCTCGAAAGACCGGCCAACAATAGACAGGACCTCTAGTGTAGGTTACAAAAACCCGTGCGCGGAGTGCCCTTCTTCATATATCGGTGAGACAAAAAAACCTATCGGAACGACTCGAACAACATGCCAACGACGTGCGGAAGCTCTACAAAGAGCGCAGCACAGTCGCAGAGCATGCTAAGACGTTGGACAACCGAATAAATTTCAAAGCAATGACCATCCTTCAAAGCAAGACTGACTGGAGAAGAAGGTTAATACTAGAGTCGTAGCATCTACAGCGGATGGTACAAAACATCAAGTGCTCTCTTGGAACCCTTCCCTCAGTGAGCGAGTACACCCTTCCCTCAGTGTACTGCGCTCCACAGCAAAACGAGAGAGAGAGGTCATTAACCACCCCGCGAGTGCTTTGAGGACGCCGCTGCTACATAGTTCCAGTTTCCCCTGAGGAAGGAACCAAGTTGGTACTAAAACGTTGTGTTTCTTCAAAAACTTTTGGTTTCACTTCCCAGTTAACATGCTGCATCAAAAAATGTTCAATGAACATATCAAAGTTCCCCCAATATATATCTCTTTACTGGGTAAGTACGAGGCAGATATCATACAGAAAAGCCAGTTAAAAAAAAAAAGAACAGTATATGATGTGACAGCTCAAACATTCCCTAGCTCTTTCGTTAGGGTGGAAATGTTAAAAACCAAACTCAAACACCATGGAACATTCAAAATTATTGCTGTTATGGCAATGAATTGATCTTGGGCGCCGGGAGCACCGACCAGTGCTGACACGAGAAGATCGGCTCCCATTTCTGTGAATGCTTTCATTCGATGCAGTTTCTTCTGAGGATCAGCTTATACTGGACTTTTTTCGGTTAGTGGTGCTTTTGATGAATCACTGGAAATTTTCCTGTGGAATGCACCGCGGCTCGGCTAGCCCTACCGGGGCCCAGCCTAGTGTCGATGCGAGCCGCAGAAGAGGGACAACATACCAGAAGTAGAGATAATGAAAGGAGAGGAAATCTCTCACGAAAACGCACATAGTTCGGGCTGGATGACAGCACTGGGCAGGAACAAGAAAGCTCGTGCAGAAACGCCAGTTTTGGCGGGCAACATATCCCATGTGGGCTTGAAGGCAGCCCTGCAAGGTGCGATGAAGCGTTTTGAAGGTGCATCGAAACTTCCCCGGCTGCCGAGGGGCCACATACAAATTATTGTCAGGCCGAGGAACAGACTAGACATAAAAAAAGTAAGCCAAATAAGGCTTGCACAGGCTATTGCCATGGCAGTTGCTCTAGCCCCGACAGAGACTTGAGGGTGACTGTGATGAGTGGAGTACGCGTTTAAAGTGCGCACCTTTGAAAAGTGAGCAACAGGAAAATAACGAAAAACCCGTGCAAACAGTGGCCGAGGTAGAAGACGACGATGGTGAAGATTTTAAGGGTGAAAGCACGAGGATGTGCGGTGAGACGTCAGTAAAACAAAGGAGAACACATCAGAGACATCCAATAAACAAGAAACACTGAAGTTTTCAAGGACCAATCAGTGGTTAACACGACAAGCCCGCCATCTCGAATAGGAAGCCGACGAGTGGATTTCGGGGGCAGAAGATTCTGAGCCATAGAGGAGCACGGACAGTTGTAAAAGAACGCTGGCACGAGAAAGTCATCACCGGACTGGGCACTGAAGATGGACCGTTGGGTGTCGAAACCGAGCCTCCAAGACTTCGACTGGCTGGGGTCTTCCGTCGTTGCCTTCCCGCTTGAGGGGACCGTAGCCATCGGGTCTTGAACTCCTGCCCAGAGCCTGCGGATTTTGGTGCCGAAAGGCGAACTACAGCTGTCGGGCTACGGGCCCGAGCTATGTGCCCAGCTGCCTGGCGAGGTCAACCCTGGTTTCTCGACGCGACGCTAGCAGTTAGAATTCTCTGATCACCGACAAGCTCGCGTCCTAAATCGGGAGCCACCGCGTTCCGGTTTCGTAGGCATCGCTCAGCCGTCAACGAGTTCATGAGACCGAACTGCCATCTTTCTCTGCTCCACCGCTCTGCCACGTCAGGACTATCTTCGGTAGATTAGTGTAGTGAGGTTTAGTTTTGTGTGCCATCTGAGTGTATTACCACGTGTGGTGATTTTTTATTAAGGGGGGACACTGTACTTGAGATGAAATGCCAGATATTTTCATGTGTTTATAACGAAAATCCACAGTGTGATTGAGTTTTTGATGCTGATTTCAAAAGTGTAATTACTGTTTCTCTTAACCAAGTAGTATTTGAGATATCCTAAAATTAATTATCTATTGTTTGCCGGTATCATGACACAAGAAATTTGTATTGCAGAGCTACTATTGGCACATGCCTGTGTACTAATGAACATAAGCTACACAATGGCAGGAGTGCTTTTTTGATTTGATAATTTAGCAAGGTTTGTCGCACCTCGCATTTCAGTGTTGCAGACACACCCACTTTATGACCCGATTTCTGGCAAAAATAAAATTTTTTGAAAATTTCAATCAAAAATTCACACCTACCATCGTGTAAACTAAAGATACAGCTACATGTCACAACAAAAATGACAGTCCTAGCTTAGCTGCTCTGGAGGCACATAAAAAGAAGGTGTGCAGGAGCTGTGGGCTCGCCTCCCCACCAGACGATCACCACTGTCTGCCAAGATGTGCCCTTTGCGGTGAATAACATCCTACGATGGATAAAACATGCAAAGAAAGCTTTCAAGTTCCTTATGTCATGTGACGAAGCAGACGACCGTGCCGAACGCACGCCAGGAAGACTCAACAAAAGTTGGCCCAGGAGAGCCGGTCAGAGGATTCTAGCCTGTCAAGTGTTCCCAGGCGGGGACATTCTATCACGCCAGCTGGCCGCCGGAGCAGCCGCTCCAGGGACTGCACTCAATCCCGAGTGCAGATCCAGACAGAGCCTACCTGGGCCGATCGAGCACAGCCGAAGGTAGTGGCGCTGCCACCGGAGGTAACTCAGGCACCATTGCCCAAGAATAGGGAAGACTCCAGGGTAGCTAAGATGACACGAGACAATGCTTACCTCAAGTCAGAGCTTCAACAGATGAGAGCTGACCTTGAGTCTCGCAAGGCGCGCTCAAGTAAACGTAGGGCCTCACCTCTCGAAGTGGAGTTGGGCACTATGAAAACCGAGTCCAACAACAAGGCTTTAGAAAGTATGCAGGAATCAAACAGCTGGCTGATAGCATGACTGCCCTACTTAAAAGGGTGTCAGCTCTTGAAAGTACGCAGGTAGCGCTAGCTACAGGTAGCTCACTTTTGACAGGACTGGACAGGGCACAGTCGCCAAGCGCGCGGTAACCGTCAACCCAACTAGGGATTGGCTAAGTCAGAGTGGTAATCATGGCGGGCAACAC